CCCATGGCAATTAAGAATGCACTTTTCTTGCTGGTAGATTAATATTAAATATACATTTTGAAATTTTGAGGAATTTTATGGAATCCTCCTTTACACCGCCCTTGTACAATAGTCTAAGTTAAGTGTCAAATATAAAAAAAAACTCTCAAGTTTATCTTTAGGTGCTTGTGAAATCATCAGAAGATATATAAAGAGATGTTCAGTAAGTTGTATTACTTCGATATAGATTGTTTGTTTGTAATTAGGCACAAAGCTACACAATGGGCTGTCTGTGCCCTGCCCACCACGGGTATCGAAACCAGGATTCTAGCTTTGTAAGTCCGCAGACATACCGCTATGCCACTAGGGGGCGATATAGATTGCCTGACTAAGATTATCATTTTATTTTTATCACAATAAAAGATCAGTCTCACAACCGAGCTGGAACCATTTGAACTGTATTTCAGCCGATTGGATAATTAGGATACATGTAAATAAGATAGTTGAGTACAACTATATGAGAAATAATTGGTTAATACGGTTTTGTCTTCTTTTTTTTTTTTTTGCTTTATTCTTTTCATCATCTGCTTTATTTTGGGCGAGGTGTGGTTGTAGTGGTTAGTATGCTCGGACTCTGGATCCGAGACTTCATATTCCGTAGCATATTGTCGTAACGAGCGTACAGTGGGATTGTTGGTTGGTGCACTATAAGAGTGACGGTCAAATCCTACTATTCGTTCAGGCAAGAGTAGCCCAAGAGTTGACGCTGGACATTGCCAAATAGCGGCCTTACCTCTAATTTATCGGTTCAGCTTTAGGGATGAATATGCACGTATAGCCTTTCTGTGTAACTTTGTACCAAAAATTCTGAAATTATTTTAATTATCTGCCTTCAATGAGTAAGAAACAAGATGTGCTACTATAGAATAAGATGATAAAGTCTTACATTAACAAGTAAAATTAATAATATAGCGCTTTTACTATTAACATGTCTAAGAAAGTTTAAATTCAACTGGATTTATAAACTAAGAGAAAATCGACAGCTTCTGACGAAGCTGTAATAGCGAAATATTGACAGAAAGTTATAAATCCAGTCGGATCGAAAAATAACGGGATAATCCGAGATAAGATAACGAGACAGTAAATAGAATAATTATATTGTGACAGTAATACAGTAAGATAATGGGATAATCCGATATAAGATAACGAGAGAGTAAATAGAATAATTATATTGTGACAGTGATACAGTAAGATAATGAGATAATCCGAGATAAGATAACGAGACAGTAAATAGAATAATTATATTGTGACAGTGATACAGTAAGATAATGAGATAATCCGATATAAGATAACGATACAGTAAATAGAATAATTATATTGTGACAGTGATACAGTAAGATAATGAGATAATCCGATATAAGATAACGATACAGTAAATAGAATAATTATATTGTGAAAGTGATACAGTAAGCTAATGGGATAATCCGATATAAGATAACGATACAGTAAATAGAATAATTATATTGTGACAGTGATACAGTGAGATAATGGGATAATCCGAGATAAGATAACGAGAGAGTAAATAGAATAATTATATTGTGACAGTGATACAGTAAGCTAATGGGATAATCCGATATAAGATAACGATACAGTAAATAGAATAATTATATTGTGACAGTGATACAGTGAGATAATGGGATAGGCTGTTATAAAGGTAATTAGACACTCATATAGAAAGTTAATTAGAACTATAATTAGCTACATGTAATCTGGAGATGGAAGACACCTATTAAGAAACCAGAAGGTTATATACATGTATTCAGGATTGTAATCTGGAGATGGAAGACATCTATTAAGGAACCAGAAGGTTATATACATATATTCAGGATTGTAATCTGGAGATGGAAGACACCTATTAAGGAACAAGAACATAAGCTCAACTTCACCAAGTTTACAAATTAACACAATATCATCCTTATTCAGGCCTTTTTAAAATTTTCAATGAATCAATACAGAACTTTCTGCTTCTATTCCAGTTTAAGTTCTCGTATCTTACTTAGTAAATCTTAAATTCATGTACTAAACTAACCAACCTATATAGGATTGATTCAGATTTCACTATCTCTCGAAACTTCATGAATAAAAGACTTAATTTACCTCCTTTCGATTATCATTTGATATATTACAAACACACAAAGCTTTTTACTGGAGTAATTGGACTGATTAGAAAATAACAGTTCATAGTTCTCATAACTTCACTTTTTTGTGGCGCCATCTATTAATAACTACATTTATAATTTATCATATATTTTAAAATTTCCATCGAATCTATATTTTTTTTTACTTGCGAGCTTTACAACCCTGTTCTTGGTAATAAACGTGATAAGAATATTTCACTGCCTTATTATTAATGAATAGTTATAATCAACTTAATTTTTCGGATTGAATAAATAGTAAGTATGTTAATTGCCCCAATAATGATAAATAAGGTAATATATGAAAAATATATTCGATATAGGGGGAAAAACATACATTACTCTGTGGGCTTAGTAAATTCTATGTAAAATGACGTACATATACACACATTTATACATTTTTGTGTTATAATAATTATTGTGAAGTTATATAGTCGCCAGGTTTTCTTTCTTTTTCCTGACAAAGTAAATCCAAGTTGGAAGATCCAGGTAAAATCATGAAGGTTTCCCTCTTGACAAACGAACATCCTGAGCGATTGTATCCCTAAGGAAGTGACTCGTAAAAAGTTCACAAACAGACCAAAAGAAGAATATTTCTAAAGAACAGCCCCCCCCCGCCCCAGTGGCGCAGCGGTATGTCTGCGGACTTACAACGCTTGAATCCGGGTTTCGATACCCGTGGTGGTCAGAGCACATATAGCTCATTGTGTAGCTTTGTGCTCAGTTGCAAACAACAACGTCTAAAGAACTTGATTTGCGAAGGATGCTGGTTTGTCATTCATAATATCTTGAACAGTTTAATATTTGTGCCTCCTCCAGTGGACGTGTACAACGTCTAAAGAACTTGATTTGCGAAGGATGCTGGTTTGTCATTCATAATCTCTTGGACAGTTTAATATTTGTGCCTCCTCCAGTGGACGTTTATTGAATCTGTGACTAAGTGAAAGACGGTTTATACGTGGCAAATAATTAACTTACGTATTCAAAGGTTACCGTAGCATGAGGGTTTCAAAGAAACTGATTTTGACTTTTTCCAACTGAACGGCATCTTGTGAAACACATGGACATGGTCAAAGATTTCCAAGGTTCAGATATAGCTAACCTTAGTTTAGAACTGATGACCAGCGAGAGGACAACCATTAATCAGCAGGCCCCGCCTAGGCGGCTGCTCTTAACCAAATAGTGGGATTGACTGTTACATTTATAGCGCCCCTACAGCTGAAAGTGCCGAGCATGTTCAGATAGATACTGCGGGTCGAACCTTGGCTCTTTTGAACTGCAGCCCAGCACACTAACCACTAGGCCAAGTTCAGCCCACTCAGAAAAGGATTGTTTGTTTGTTAGGAAGTAAACACAAATTTACACAACGGGCCATCTGTGGTCTGCTCACCACAGGTATCGAAACCCGGCTTTTAGCGTTGTAAGCTAGCCGTCCCTAATTTAGCAGTGTAAGACTATAGGGAAGGCAGCTAGTCATCACCACCCACCACCAACTCTTGGGCTACTCTTTTACCAACGAATAGTGGGATTGACCGTCACATTATAACGCCCTCATGGCTGAAAGGGCGAGTATGTTTGGTGAGACGGGGATTCGAACACGCGACTCTCAGAATGCGAGTCGAGCGCCCTAACCACCTGGCCATGCCGGGTCTCTCAAGAAAGGTCCACCTTTCGAAAACGCTTGGGTTATAGGGTTTTTATTTATTTCTATCAAGATTTCTTGAACCTACGTGTCTTTCTAATATCATGAGAATAAGTATATTGTTACGACAGCGAAAGTCACGTGACGCTGGTAACACGTCATGAGATTCTCGAAGGATCTTGACTTTTCCTGGCAATTCTAGCCTGTTCTAGGCGCCCTCTTTTTTTTATATAAGCCCGGCAAATAAAGCGGAGATAATGGCAGATAGATAGATATAGAGACAGA